TATTACAACTATACAAAATATTAAAGAAAATAAAGAAGATAAAGAAAACAAAGAAAAAAATAAGAAATATAAACTATAGTCTATAATTTTATTAAAAATAGCTTTAACAAATGTGAATAATCTAATATAATTTGTCAATGATCTGTCTAGTAGCTTCATCTTCAATAAGAAAGTATTATCAGTTCTACATTCATTGAAATCAGAAATTTTGTGCTGTCAAATAGATAGATTAAGTCAATCACAAATTAATAATTTTATCAATAATAGAATATAATAAATTTGTTATTATATTTATAATTTCTTAATTTACTATATTAATATGTAATTATCCACTAATTAAATATAATAATCTCTCAAAACTGATATTATATTTTTATATCAGTTTTTTAAAATTTATTTGTAAAACTAATATTTCGCAAAACTGATAAAAAAGATAAAAATACTGCTATCAATTTTCCAAACTTTGATTATAATTTAACAAAGATTATAAAATAAAAACTTTTTTATATTTAAATAATAATAAGAAAGAAAAAAATAGCTATTATAAAAAAAAGAATTGAATCTTGATATATATATAAGTAATTTTTTAACAAAGATAATAAAATTATTTAAAGATAAATAGAAAAAAATATATATAATAATAATATTTAATACTAATTAAGATGAATTTTAAGACTTTAAAAAACTTCTTGAATAAGTTATATAGATAATAAATATTTTTAAATAGATATATCTAGAAAATATGAATATATTTATCTTTAATAATATTATTTTTCATATAACTTTTACTAAAGATATTTTTGTAATTTTAAAAATAAATTTTAGTTTAGGAGAATTAATTTTAAAAATACAAGATATAATATAAAATAATAGTTATTATTAAGAAGATTATTTTATTTATAATAAGAAAATAAAATTTAATATTAACTTATATAATTAGTCTAAAAAAATCTAATAGATTCTTAGTAAATAAAGATTATAACAAGAGAGAATAATATTAGAATATATTTTATACAAGAAAAAAAAGATAAATTCTAATATTATTAATTATTATATATATTATTTAATAATTAATTAGCTAAATTTTCTTATATAGTATAGTCAGATTCAATAAGAAATCAAATCTCATAAACATAAGATAATTTTATTATCTTTAGTTATTCTTTCTAATTAGATTAATCTTAATAATATTATCTGTTTTTAAGTTATATTCTATCTCAAATTTCATTCTGAATTTAACTATATTAAGATATACTAAGAGATAGACAAGAAGTATATCTGATCTTATTATAAATACTTATTATTAAAAATTAAAAAAATAATTTCTTAAGCATTTGATTTTATTTTTGTAGAGAGTATTCATTCTTTTATTAAATTATTATTTAGATGAATAGATATTTATTATTATAATTTAACTAGAAAAATAGCAGAATATATGATTAGAAAGTATAAAAAATATAGATCAATCAATGAAGAGATTATGAATCAGGTTAATGAATTATTAAATTAATAAAAAGAAGAGAATATAAGAAAATTAAAATGAAAAAGTAGGATTTTATTTCATAAAAGTAAAGAGTAAGAGATAATTATTTATTATTTTACTATATCTGATCAATAAATATTAAGAATATGTATTATAATGATGAATATTTTTATTTTTGATATAAGAGAGATATTATTTATATTATAAAGATGAATATTATTTTTATTTTACTGCAAGAGATATTCTTTACTTACTTTATCTATATATAAACTAGTAAATATTAATTAAATAGTATGATAATTTAATTTTTTTTGCTTACAATTTCATTGTTTAATCTTTTTGGATTAAAATACTCCATCAAATTCACAACCAATGCATCAGTAAAGATTCATCTTCTTTATTATGAATTGAAGTAATTTATTAATTTTTTTGGAATGGTATATAATTCTCTCTTATTATTGTAACATTCATAATAAGGAGCATTAAATAAAATCTACCCACCCACTGATTTGTGATATTTATTCATCCTCTTGTCTCCTGTTCAAAAAAAGCCAAACTCCAGTGCCATCTCAATTGCAGCAACAACACCAAGAGCAAGTCATCTTTCAAAGAGAACCATATACATATATTGATCATTGGAACTGTAGGTGTAGCGGTACGATGGTGCAAAAATGCAATTGAACGAACACATTCTTGGGTGTGGTGCACACTTAGCATCTCATTTAAATAACAGTATATTTATTATGCTTAATAATTTATGAAATTTATATCGGCTATATGATTACCGTAAACTCTCGAATTTAAGCAACCCTCGAGAATAAGCAACCCTCCCCCTTCAAGTTCAAAAGTCTTAAAAAAGTTAAATAAGCAACCCCTTTATCAAAAACTATTATATAATATATTAATACAAAATTTGCAGTACGAAAGTTTGGATTTGGGAGGACAGGGGTATTTGAAATTTTTCACATTGATCAATTCGATCTGCGTAATGTTGCGATGCATAATTCGATGTTACGCACAAGAACTCTCGAATTTAAGCAACCCCCACAAAAAATCGATCAAAAAATGATGACGTAGGGGGTTGCTTAAATTCGAGAGTTTACGGTAGTAGAGACTGGATTACAAATTCAAAAATTTCGTGGTTGAAAATTAATACATTTTTATTAGGTATTTGCTGATATCGAAACTACATAAAATTGGCAAAATCCATCTATGTGCGCAGGAATTCTAATACCATTTAATAGCGACGACGACGAGGAGGAAGCATCCGCTTTGAGAGCTGAACAAATCAACGGTCGGCGCTTGATATCGAAAAAAATGTATAAATAAATCGACAAATCGCCTAATTAAAACGCCCACTAAAAAAGGAAGAAATTAAGGATTGCCGTAGATAAAGATATTTCCTTGATGAGCTCATTGCTAGTATTTCGCGCAAATGTTATTAAGAGAAGATTTAAGCAAGCATATGAGCTCCTCATCAATTAAATGCTCAGGTTGATTTATCAAAATGGGTTTGTCGCCCGCGCTAAAAGTGATGCTATCAAAATTGTGTCAATGCGGAAAATGTTGAACATCTCAGAGAGCAGAGAATTTTCTTAATTCGAACGAGAGAACCGTAATATCTTTTTCTTTTTGCCAAGTCACCATTTGACTGCATATATCTTTCAAATTAGCAGGTATCATAGATTTTAGTAACAAGATACATAATAAATTTCGTTCTCCGTAATTAATTACAGGTTTTATTTTCTCTGAAAACAAGATATAGACTATATAAGGGCTGTGATAGATATTACGTAATAGCCTGGATATTGACAAATCTTAAAATATTATAGTCACATGTTTTGAATATCTTACCTTGGAGGAGAACATTCAATAGTAAATGGATATTACGTAATGTCTGTCACAGCCCTAACTAAACATAACGATAACTATCTTCTTTTCTTTTGTAGAGTATGATCGCTCTAAAGCATACGGCGACAAACACAAGAAAGCCATGAAAATTTTATATGCAAAACGACCAGCAATTCCAAATAAGAAATTAAATTACGTAAAGAAGATTTATTAGGCAGCATATCCCCAGACTTTAAACTAACGAGACTCTTACAAGAATCGATTTCCTAATAAAATCGCCAATTGTAGATTTTTTATGGTAGAAATGAAATTAAATATAATAGTGTCAATTAAGATTAAAATACAGTGGTCGTCATAAATATTGGAATTTTTGATATAGTGCATAGAATAATGAAAAATTGCCAAAATTGCCTGATAATTTAGACACATCTTCTTTATAAAAATGTTTTACAGAATTATTATTACAAAATTTATTGTAAAAAGATAAGTCAGATCCAACAAAGATTGAGCTTATATTATTAAAATAATATTAAGTAAGCCTATTATTTTATTATAGGTGAAATGGTTCATTATATTACAAAGAATATATTTATAAATTTTGATATATTTCTGACATTTTTTCATTAAATAATCAATAAAGTTATAAAGTTAGCTACATTTATGGTTGTTTTTAGTTTTTTATAATTTAATGGTATTTTTAATAAGATGTTATACCAATATGTCTTAAGTAGCTTTGTTCTTCATATCAAAAAACATATATTTGAAAAATTTCACGAAATTCTATTCATTCTTTATCATATAATTGATATACAAATTTAAAAACTCCGAATTTTTATAACGACTACTGTATTTGCCTTAATACCTTCATTCTTTAAGCCCAATGCTCTCTCTATATCCTATACCATGTTTATAAGATTACAAAACTGCTGGGAAATCCTGAATTCGATTTTTTTATGTTCTATGTAATTAGACCTAGAAACAGTAGTAATACATAGTTGATAAGGTTGAAATATATGAATATCATTGAAAACGAGAAAAAGAAAGGCAATTAAGAAAACAAATATTAAGACGTGCAATTTTTTACTCTTGGCAGTCAACGATATCACTACCTTGTGTGAATTTAAACATTGATTATTTTTTGACGGCTTAGATTCAGGCGATGTGCCGAAATATCGAAAAAACGTTTAAATACGGAATGTGATACATATAAAACGAACTAACGCTAAAAAAAATTCTTGTTTTTATTACAAATAAATGATGTCATTTCAAGCCCATTTACTCGACCATAACGATTCAAGTCACACGATCACATTACGGCTCACACGATCAACAGAATCTCTATTTTCAAATTTTGTGTTACGCTTCCCCGAAGTATCAACTTAAAATCACGATCATCTTTTAAATTTAATCAAATTCACTTAAAGAAACCGGCCGTTTTGCTCCACCGTAAAAAAAAAGCAGCATTTCCATTCCCTCATAAAGCATCTCTTTGGCTACTCATAACTTGTCATATTCATTCTTTTTTTCAAGTAACATAATATATCCGTTGAAATTCATTTTCTTTTACAAATTGCAATAATCTCAAATTTCAATATACTTACATTAAATAAAGCACTAGAATTTTTTAATAACAAGGCGAAGCTCTTAAGTTTTATTATTTATAAGAATGTCTTCTGCCTCGCTCATTGTCCCATTGGCTCTTTGGAACCACCTGCCAAACGTGCAGGTGACTACAGTTGCTTATAAGGATGGACATGTGGTTACAGGGTTAAAAAATGGGCATATTTGGATTTATCGATGCCGGGTTAACGGGGAGAAGAATGAACTTGAGGTGAGAAAACCACTTTTTTGCATGTGTGGTCTATAGTTTTCCTGTCGTTTTTGGCAGAGTACCGAGTAAACATAGACTTAATCGTTTTTAATAAAGTAAAAATTTCAAATCATTCTTTGATTCTTGAATCTATTTCGTAACCAAATGATTTCTTATTTAATTCATGAAACGAATATAATAGCTGGAACACAAAATTCTCTGCATTGGTCACAAGTCCGCTGTCGCTGCACTAACAATAGTTGAGAGTCAAACAGATGGAAGTACTGGCAATGATCATGTTGTGATTAGCGCTTCGCAGGACGGGTAGGATTTTTATGATGAAAACAATCGTGTCAATTATTAGTCTTCATGAACTCTTTTTTAATCCTTATAGATTTATTGATCATATTTTTTATTATGTTGGAGTAGAGAAATAATCAAGTGGTGTTTAGTGGATGGACGATGTCTTCTAAGTTGCTCGCGTGGTTTTGATGGTATACCGAAAAGTTTAAAACCTCTGGCAGGATCTGCACAGGTTCTTTTTAGAGTTTTTGATTCGAATAATTCATGAGCAAAGCTGCGCTTGATCTTGAGCTCTAATTAATTTTATTTATTGGCATCCGCGTGGATTTTTGTAATTAATCAATTTATTCTTGAAAATAGCCAGCAAAGTTTCTTTTATGTTCTGGATTTTCAAATGAAATTATTATTTTGGATTGTTTGACATTAGAGGTAATCGACTTATTTTTTTTGATCACTATTATTCCTTGTATTTTACCTACTAACATGAATATATAGGTTGTTCGAGTATGGGCCGGTCACAATGACTGGGTAACTTGTACACCCTTCTACGACTCGGGTAGGTAAATCCCCTAAAAATCAATTTTACTATTCATTTGACATTCACCTCATTCTAAACCGTTACCCAAACTCGGAAATAAACATATAAAAAAAGACGCACGTCAAGTTCGACTACTAACTGCAAACTTTAACGGAAAACTACTTATCTGGACATTCGACGAACTAAAGAAAACGATAATCAAATCTTACGAATATGTCGGAAACTTGGACGTGTATGGTGACAAAATTTTGGAATTGATTAGTAATCCGTATGATGTTGGTGTCGTGTTTGCAGTGTCTAAGAAGATTGTAACTGTAAGAATTTTTGGTTTCGTCTCTATAATTAATAATAATTTATTATTATTATGAATTTAATGATATCATTTATCTCTATAAAGCTATTTACAATACGAAGCGACAAAGTGCTTAATATGCAATTCATTACATGTCCAAAAGAAGGTGAAATTTGGATGAGCGGCGCGTTTCTTTCCAAAACACGCGTGTTGCTATGGACAAAGGTCATTTTCTATTCCATCACTCGTGATTTATGGAAGATGAAATAACGACCACATATCTTTTCTATCTTTGTTGCAGACAGGCGAGGCCTATTTATATCTATTACCATCACACAGTGATCGAAAAAGTTACCAAGAGTTTGGGTCGGGTCATCATGCTTTGTTATCACGATCAAGCTTGAATGTCTCAGTTCGCCGCTCGTCGTTACCGCCGAATGATAATCATGATGTTATTTTACCTCCAGTTTCGTCAAGGTCGGTAATGTATGATATTTTGTATTTTTTTTGGTACTTTGGCGGTGATTGTTAATCTGAATTTGTGTTTTTCTTGGTGAAGGCCAGTGCTACTGGAATCTCTGCATCACCATCATGATGGTATTTACTTAATTCTTTTTACAATCCTTAATTTAACGAATGAAATATATTAAATTATAATTTTTCTGTCTAGATCCTGATACACACACAGCAATGACGACGGTATTCATGCCAACTACCCTTGAAGAAAACTCAAATAATTGGTATTTAATCAGTTTTCGTAATCGGACAGACGGGCCGGCATATGCTTGGAAGCTACTGCCTATGAATCAACTAGAACAATCTAAGGCAACTGAAACAGAATGGTCTCGAGGTAACTTAATAATAAAATCTATATTTTAATGTGAGAAAATCATAAATTGTGACTTATTTATTTTTCTGGACCAATCAGAGAAAAATATCTCCAATTTATGGCCACTAGATAATCAAAATAATTCTTCATCAAAAGTAACCATAACAGCTAGTGTATATGATGACCAAATTGCTTTTGGATATGGTTTGTGTTTATATCTTTTTAATTATATTATAATTTCAACAATTGCTTATATAAATTAATCAAATATCAAATTTAATAATATGTATATTGGAACTATATCGATAATGATTATAAGAAAACGGAGAAATAAAGCTTATTCCTAGTTACCTTGTATTCACACAACCAATTGACCAAGACACCCAAGAAATTCAAACACTTAGTGGTCACACGGGTTGTGTAACTTGTTTATATTCACCGAATATGAGTATTTTTGGAAAGAAGTATTTGATTTCGGGTGGTGAGGATTGTTCAGTGCGCATTTGGAGTCTGGAGTATGTCACACTTTTTATTTCTTTTATCCATTTGAACTTCAATGTCGATAAGAAATGAAAATAATTTTTTTTTAGAAATGGTAAACGTCTGGCGACATTTACTGCCCATTCGCAACCGGTCAGAAAAATTCTTGAACCACCTGCAGACGTCGGTATTCGAATCCGGGGTTGTGTTATTTCAGTGGGAAAAGATAATTCGCTAGCGATTATCTCATTGGAGAAAATGGATTGGTACGTTTCTCTTATACTTTTCAATCGTGATGATTTTTCTTAAGGTTAACATTATATAATTAATTGATCTCGGTATCCGTAGTCTGTATGTCTTTAGTGGTTATCTATATCCTATAATGGGAATACAGTGGCGTCCGACCGAAGATTCTATTTTACTCTCATATGGTGATGAAACAGTTCACGTTTGGCAGGTTGGTGGGTGGATATTTATTTATGTTTTTATTCGGCATTTTATATCTAATGAGCACAGAAACCAAAATTTAAACAACGAAACTTTTTTTTTACGTCTTAGTTGCAATCAGCTTTTCTTGTTCGTATTGTCAAAGGGTCAACTGCACGAGATATGATAAGTGATAAACAATGGAAAATAAGGTTCATGATCCCTTTAATTGATAAGTTTTATTTCAAATACGAAATTAATATTCAAATTGATTAAATTTCGAACCAACTTATTCAGTCGAATAACTTTGACCGATTCTGCAAAACACGCCTACCACAAGGGCAAGACTTTCAATTCATTCGCGATAGACTCTCACGAGAACCGTAAATATTTTCTTGATACAATAGTCACTGATTACAAGAATATACGATATAATATCCGACTTTTTCCGTATAACATATATATGTCTAGCGAATTCTACTCCTCACATTTTCATGATTAATATAAGACAACTCATCAATGATATTTATCATTATCACGTATCTGCGTTGGGATCATTCTCGCATAACAAAACAAATGGCGCTACGAATGAACTAGGCGTCGGGATAAATGGAAACGACGACCTTGACGAGAAGTCTTTATCTTCACAGCAATCTAAAGTTTTTTCATGGACTACTTCGACCAATACTGCGACGACAACACAAATTTCTAACGGGACACAATCTTCGGATTCGTTGTCAGAGCAACCGCCGCAAGCGACAGAGAGCGTAGCTTTGGGGGCGAACGTTGTGCAAGGACTAGTCTCGGCATTGATGTCTTGGGATATTAATCCCTCGTTAGATAGTATATGTATCCAACGATTGGGACTAAGAAAGCCTGTTGATAGTATTACTTTCGGATTAAGAGGGTATGAATATAATAATGCATTAAATTTCTCAGGTATTTTTGCCAGTGTTTTGGTCATTATTTCACGAGAACGAAATATAATAATGGAAATTGGATTCTTTCCCTATAATTTTTTTCCTGACAATAGGGCAAATGGAAATTTGTCAATTGCTGCTCCTTCTAGGCACCGAATATTACTGTGGCAAATATCTTCGAATATGACGGCTACATATCTGTTGGCGATTGTCGGGTTGATCCGGTCGTTTCTTTCTATGAAAGGTGGTCTTAGAAATTTACGTATTATGAATAGTGCTTTAAATTTAATTGTTTATTTACAAACGAACTCTCTTCTACTTTATATCAGGATTAGAGAAATATGCAAGTGATATATTAACACATTACGGGTACTCCCTGCCAGAGCTTGTGGGAAAGGGATTTTGCCATGCATCCTTATATTTTCTTTCCAAATATTTTCAAGATTCTTCAGGTATCTATATTGAAAGATTCAAAACTATTAATTTTATCCATCCAAACCAAGTCCTAAAGACATCTCACGAAAATTTATATGCATTATTTTACAATGTAAACAGCAGACCTACAACTTGCAGCACGAACATTATTTTCGTCGTCACTAAATAGCATGCGACAAGAAGATCAACAAGCAATAATAGATTTCTGGAAACAATTTTGTGAGCATATTGTTTTGTTTCCTCTTTCAGCTTTTTTATTGTATGTTGTTATAGGAATCCATGTTTGTGTGAGAACACTTCCAACTGATTTCATCTATGTATATACTCTAAGTACCAGCAGTATCTTCACCTGACTCATACACTAATCAATACATGGCAAGAGCCACGATATTACTGGCAATGATAGGTGTAGATAATCCGAATATTTTGCCGAAAAAGTAATTTTTCTTTTATCCTTTTATATTGTGCTCAATTATGTCATTAACTGGAATTGGGTAAATTTAGGATTGCAAAAAACGTAGCCATGTCGTTGACTTTACTACTTAATGATGAATCTAAACCGGCACATCGCTTAGCAGCACTGGAGTTATGTGGGAGAGGATTCGCGTCATGGGAGCCTCATATCCTTTTCTAATCTAAATAAACATTGCTCTGATCGCAAGTTATACCTATTTTATTATTGGTAAATTAAGGATTTTTCTCCTTGACTTATTTCCAAAATACATTTCAACGCAAGAGCCGTCCTCCGAACACTATTCACATTCGCAATGGACGCAGACACGAATTCCGTCGCCGTAAAATCCACGGCACGCTCAGCAATATTTCAAATCGCTTCCATTAACACACCTCTATTTATATCGGCACTCACCTACGACACAATAGACTCTGCCAGACCGTGCGACAAAAACGGATACTTGAAATTAGTCTCTTTATTCATCCGCAAGAAACCATTAATACTGTATTCTAATCTACCAGCGTTAGTTGAGGCGGTTGTCAAATCGCTGGATCCTAATATACCGAATCTTCGAGAAACTGTTTTGCAAACGACCACAAGTATTTTACACGATCTAGTGAAAACTTTTCCTTCGATTACTTTTCATGGGCGATCGCAGAAACTTGCGGTTGGGACTTTGGAAGGGGCGTCGATAGTTTACGATTTGAGAACGGCGACACGGTGCCATGTGTTGGAGGTTTTGTTATTTTTCACATAAAATGAATCTACTTATTCCTGCTCTGGTCGTAAACACATTGATGTCAATAATTTTATAGGGTCACACAAAACCAGTTACAGCGATATCATTTTCAGGAGATGGTAAATTAATTGTTTCATGCTCGTTGGACGAACAAACAGTCCGTGTATGGAATCCAAATCCAGGATTATTGGGCATGTTGACTGGGTCATTAGCTGCGACGGCTGGTGCATCACGAGACACGAAACCATTTGTTAACACGCTGTCGAGCTCAATAAAGCCATCTAAGACTTTTGGATTTAATATTGGGGATGATGGTAAATAATCTTTTATTTTTTACTTGTTGATTTTTTGTCTACAATTTCAAATTGATTGCAATGCATATTTACTGATATTACCATATAGTTCGCTTATCTGCACCAACAATTTTGGATACCGTACACTTTGATTGGGTAGCTGAGCGAACAGTTAAATTATATGTTCAGGAATTGACGATGTCTTTTAATGTATAATTTTAATTTGTTATAAATAACACAAGCAAGGAAATCTTTGATATTTAATTTAATTAATAGTAATAGAAACGAGTGTATTATTAAAATTACAATTCGTATTCAATAATTGATTAAACATCTTATTACATGAATTTACATAAAATATTGTAAAAGTTCAAGTCTCATTTGCATCAAAAAGAATAAATACAATAATAATATAACTGAAATGTTACAAATACCTACTATAAAATAATTTTTCAAATGCAAAACTAGTATATTTGCTTTTTAGTTATTTATCTTAAAAATTACTTTTAATATTAAAATTATTTTTTATTGTTATAGTTATAAATTTATTGATTCTAATTAATTTATATTAAAATTTATAATTTTATTAAAAATAATTTTCATTTTTATATTAAAATAAAGTTTGTCAGTTATAATTTAATAATATTTTTTTCAGATTTTTTAGATTTTTTCTGAAAGAATTATTTTAAATAATTCAAAAATTTTTATCAATTAAATTTTATTTTTAGTAAAAATTTTTTGTATAACTTTGCAATTAGAATATTCTTTCAGATAAATAAAAATTATTTTTTAATAAAATTATAAATTTTAATATAAAGAGAAAATTTTAATTTTTATTATATTTTATTAA